TTTGTTACTTTAAAAATAATTCTTCATAAATCAAGTCGAGGGCAACAGCAACTTGGTACATAAACAACCAGCTTCGGCCGTCACCGGCGATCTGCTGCAACTTGCTCTGTACGAGTTGTGGAGCGTCGCATGTGTTGCAACGAACGCATTCTTCTTACAACACTGCCGACTGCTTACACAATTCTTATTATATCGCCTTATCAAAATATCATATTGCCTATACAATGTAATTATCCATTTAAGCACAGTATAAAAAGTTATTAACGGATAATCGGGAAATTGATTTAACAATTGATTGAATTAATCGTTTTATCATCAACCCATACGCGACTTACACGAATAAATCTGAAATTAATTAATTTAATTGCTATCTAATTACTTGTAGTTACTTAATACGTGAGATAAAAGATATCTCACACTGATAAATAGTGTTTGTTCTTAGATAAACTAAAGAGTCATACAGACTATCGCAACTTCTTTAAATACGGATTTCAAAATATGTAAGTAGTTTAAGTATATATTTAAATCGATAAAATATGTTTTTAAACGGTTTCAAAATCAAACGTAACGCCTATTGGCAGAATACTTGTATTAATCGTACGATGACATATAATGTGTACATACTACCTATCTGTTTGGTGTAGATAGCTGTAATCAGATCAAAGTTCATAGCAACCTGGTGCTCTACAGCTCTACCTACCTACCTACCTTCCTACTATCGACATATATAGATTTACGTAACTGAAATCAACCAAATAATTAATTCGTAGCACCCACTAATATTGTATCCGCTCTATTTATTTATTTGAACTTAGTATTAAATTGATGAAACAGCGGAAAAAGATACTAAAATAAGTACTTACTCAAGTTGAGAAATGCAATTAAAATATTTTAAGTGAAATGATATGAAAAAAGCGTTTATTCAAGGTAATAAACTATATTTCAATTTTATATGATCTATATATTACATTTGTAAATGCGTAAAATAAATAAATACGACATAGCGATCAACAACCGTGGCAATCCATTGCCTGGGCTTCTTCTACATAAGATAGGTTTACTACATTGTCTATGCTTACGATTATTACAATAAATATCAGTTTTTTAAAAGGAATTGTGGAATCATAATAACATAGGTTCGATAATTCCACTGTTAAAATCATAGCTTATGGTCGTCGGGTAACTTGAATCCAGTTACATCACATTAGTGAAGTAAGTAAATACATAACGATAGCACTAGACTCTGATGTTCCGCTATCTCTACGCTTCAGTGCATTTTGTTTACTATAAATAACTACAAAAAATTCTACAGTTCAATGTCGACATTAACGCAATAGTTAAATAACACGAAATGTTGAGTTGTTCAGGCTTCTTAGTTCTTACTACATACTGCGAGATTACTTATACATAGAATGATTATATTTACACTTATTTTGACTATTATTCATCACTTTAACTCAACGTTCCAAATTCTTTTATAAACAGATATTTCACAGTTCCGATACGTATCTATACCTATATAGGAGAGCCCGAAGAATGAGTAAGGTATCGACTATCGCAGAAATTAAATTCGCACGTCCAAACTTACGCTTCACAAGCTACTTATTGCACCAATTCGCTAGAGCTAACCAAATTTTCCAGTTGTATGATCAATGCCATTTCATTACGCATAGGCAGTTTCGACACTCAACATATATTTTTATTGCTATTATAATATTTACGCTACCGTAGAACTACGTGCCTGTCATTCAATGTGGAAGGTGTAATTAGTCAAACTGCAAATTTAAGAAATGTAGGCCGTTCTTATTTGGTTTCTTACCACATGTTTTTAGGTTTAGAAATGTTTATACCTGTGTAATCTAGGTAGGCTTGTCCGTGAATTAACTAGAAGCTAACTACTAGGTAAAATGCTTAAATATGTACTGACAATTTAATAATAACAGATTATAAAACCCTACAAAACGCATTGGTAAATTACAGATAGCATTTTAATGATAAATATGACTAATTCTAGGTTTCCTATCTATTTACGTATCTACTTGAGAATTAAATGATAATGTTCAACAAATTCGAGTGTTTACTCACGAATGTGGAACTAAAATGAGTAAATAAGTACTTGTCGGTTCTCCAGTGATATGTTAATTAATAAAACTATTGCATCACTATTTAATACTTTTTGCAAAAATTTATAAGAAGGTAAGTAGGTACCTATACAATCTAAACAAGTGAACAATTTTCCACCTTCATCTTGAAATTTACTTAAATAAGACCAAAAATACTAGAAGAACCGTTAGAAAGCATTTATTCTAAACTAGTTTATTAACACTACCACTTTTTAATATCATCTTACATTTATTGTGAAATGCCACGTATTCGTACTCAGATAAATATTATGTTATCTCTATGAAATGACTCGGAATGACGACAATCTCATAATTTCACGTCGGCTACACCTCCCGCCATACGTACCTATACTTAGTTTTAAACTCGATATCTTATCACTACCTATCACTAAGAACCGTGTAGACACATAAACTAGGTCACTAAAAATATCACCTGAATATACAAGCCTGCGTAATGTGCAACAAATCTTTACTAGAACGAAACGAGCACCACATGACTATCATAATACGAAGGTCGCTACACAACGTGATTTGGTACATAAAGCATTACGTTTTGTAGTTTTGTACTAACGTGAACATGGCACAGACACTGTAACTGCTACCAACATGTAACCGTTAATTGCACGATATTGACCATCGAGATTCCTTGAAACAATGAATAACGTCATTCATTGACATTGCAGTGGTCGAACATTACGATGTTAATTGACTGATGAATCACTTTCATGATTCTGAAATTCTTAGTGGAACCTCTTGTAAGTCATCGTATTTGCCCATGTGCCATATTATTTATTGTAGCTACCTACTAAAATTAATTTTATTTATGATGTTGCTTGACTGGCTCATAGGTACCGTTAAATATAATGATCAACCATTTGAATATGAATATGAATGTTACATAAGCTGAGACCGAAAGATGCTTATGCTTAATGTAATTTTATCAGGGCCCGAGCCAATTGTAGAGGTTTATCGAGTAAAACTGGTTGGCTAGTGCTAGTATACACATGTCGTCTGCAGCCAACTGGCATAGCAACCGTCACTAACGCTGCTATCAGCAAAGATATGAATATTAAACGTTATACGTAGCTCCCAAGAAATACTACCTAGACGTAGGTATATATTTAAACAACGTTATTATTTAAACTGTCTGATATCTCACGTACATGGAAACTTCAATTTTCATTTACCGACATGTGCACGATATGAATCAATGTATTTTCTTGTTTCAGATAAGCTAAGCGATCGGAAGACAAAATTGCCTCGGAAAATTGTATCTAGTTTAAGGTGAGTAGCTACGAGTTTTAGTATTTACCGTAGAAAATCGAAAGCAAATTGAAAATATGTAGAACCGTTGTTGTTCCTAATGAAATGCTACAGGAATCTAATATTTTTTGCCACTTCTAGCTTGCTAATCAGAATACATGTATTTTGAGAAAGTTGAAGGAGTGTACCTAACGATAAGCAAGTGATAAGCCTGATATATTTTATATAAGGGGATGAACACTGCTATCTAGATTTTAAATATTATCTACCTATAGCACTTACCCACTGAATAATATTAGGCCATCGACGATTTGTAAAAAATAAACGACCGATGCTTAAATTTTCAGGAAAATCGGTATTGTTATAACGTTGCAAAGTAACGTAGGAACTAAGTAGGTATCGAAATACCGATACATTTGCAAAGGATTCGGACTAAAAAGTTCATCAATCTCCTTTTATTTATTGACGACTGACGCAACGATTATCGTCAATGTTGTGTATTCATACCTCAACAGGTAGCTAAGATAGGCTCATCATGTCATTCACAGTACCATTACGTAAGATATTTAACGGTCCATTGTTTTAACCGTTTCACGCCACGTAGGTTCTTAATATGTATTATAAACATAATTATAAATTTTGCCGAAATTGATGTGAACTGCCTCACGAATTGTCCACCTGAACACACGAATGATTTTGAAAATGAAATGTGACCTTGACCTTGACCTTGACCCTGTAATGTAAGACTCTCCGTGTATAGGTAATAGGCCAATTAACCTGGAGCATACCGATTGGCCAATTGCATACGAATATAGCCATTACACAGGTACCTAACTCTAGTGAGTAGGTGATATAGGTATTCTACCTACAGGTATTGACTCCTACAATGCTGAAGCCTAATAAATATGTGATATCTATCGCATAACCAGTTTAAAACAAAGTTTGATTAGAAAAGTATTGTCAAATTCATGCGTTCGGCTTTTGCAGCAGCCTAGACTCTACCACGCATAGGATACGAGCAATGAATTTTAATTCAGTGGACTAATGGTACATTTGACAACACATGTGATATTTTTTTTACAATAGTGCTGCTTAAAACCAATATCACTGAAGGATTCTGGGCGGGACGGAAAATATTTATTACATACATAACATAGCTAATATTCTCTCTATAGTCCTGTTCCATTTTTAAATGTTCCACCAAAAATAATGTCACGCTAGACCTAATGACTATTGTCACTGTTGACATCATAGGTGACATGTCGCATGTCGGCCAACGAACAGTTGCGTTCCGTTTGTTAGTGTTTGGCACATAATTATTACATCCTTTCGGGCTTCCATTTATATATTTTGAATGTTTAAATGCCTCCCAACGTATGTGTAAAATGTCATATACCTCTTATTAACATATGTTTCTCTACCCTCTACTGATTCCATTTTCCGTATCAAGCATTTAAAAAAGGCTACAAAATTGTTATAGAATTTTACTTTACTTACAATAAAAATCCGTGTTTAAGATGTTTATAATTTTTTAAGTACGTAATATTTATTTTTTTCATTATTTTTATTGGTACTTACGGCGCCATCTGTTGAGTTGATTTTGGTTAGTGTTCCCCATTCCTGTTCCTGCAACGCTGCTGCCGTCTGTCAGTGCGCCAAAGCCTGCTTAACCTATTTTCATTTCGATGGAATATAAAATAATTTAATTGTATATTACTGGCTAAATAATAACTAAACAATTTTAGTAAATAATGTATTGATAAACGAGTAGTAGTTCTAATCATTCGGTCAGTATTATGATATCACTAAACAATTGACATAATCACGGAACAGTCTTGACGTTTAGGGGGATATTTCAATTGTTTTAATCATTTTTAAATTTATTTTCAGAAATCGACACAATGGCGCTAGGAATAATGCTACAGTATATAAGCGATTTTCAATATTATATGGACAAATATGGAGGTAAGTTTTATATTGGAATCTACTGAACACCTTAAAAAATCTGATATAAAATCAACCCAGGAACTTGCTTTCTGACTTTAATATTCAGAAGAATACAAGGTAACTTTAAATATTTTTTGTCATGATTAATTAACAAGAAATAAGTACACTTATCTGTTTCCCATGTAACAAAAAAACATTTTAAACAAAATTATAATTATAAAATAAAAACCACTCGAAAAATATTAGAAGTAAACCGTTCGAAAGGGTAGCTAATATAAAACAAACATTACTGATATTGTAAACTTATAATGATCAGATAAACATAGATGCTTATAAAATGTTCCATATCTGTAAGGATGACTAGCGTGACAAATTTATCTCATGATACTGATCATATCTCAGAACACTGCCAACACACTTCCAGTTATAACAGACAAGTATTTTTAGATGACCCACTAAACAGATGTGCTTTTACTCTATGCACCTTTTGTCCAATCACAACAATTAACACATTCACTAAAATAGATTATAATACTGAAACAAATTTGTCTATGTTTATACTTTTTTACATACCTTGTATAACAGAGTATAGACAAACTTAAAAATATATTTTACGCAATATCTTCGTAGAATAAAAAATTAAGATACATTTGTTTTTTTTTTCAGATCCTAGGACAAATCCATGGTTCCTGATGAGTTCCCCATTTCCTACATTATTAATATGTCTAAGCTATGTCTATCTAGTCAAGGTATTCAACTTGTGTTTTCTATTAACCATGTATACGAGTTAAATGGTCCCTCCTAAAACTAATTCTGATGTTTTATTTTTTTTTCAGGTTTTAGGACCACGATTTATGGAGAATAGAAAACCCTATGAACTAAAAAATGTTCTAATATTATATAACTTCTTACAAGTAGTATTCAGTGCGTGGCTGTTCTATGAGGTAAGATTCACATTCAATTAACAACTATGTGTAAAAAGGTTTTTATGACACAATTCTTTTTTATTAATAGTTTAATAAAAACAAGTTTATATTACTTTCATTACTATGAAATGATTTGATTACTCCTTTTCTTAGTTTTGCTTTAGCATAAATAATTCCACTTTGTAATTAAAACTGCAACTGTGTATATTTTACTGCACCAAGTTATTAGATTAGTAATGAGCACTGACACTGTGTTTTATAAGATTTGACCTTTTTTCTTAACTGTGTGTATTTCAGACTGATGTGTGGTAAATATGTTTTTCTCTGATATTTAATTTTAGCTTTGTAAGTTGTCATGTTTTACTGTAAAGTTCCAACATTACAGGTATGGTATTCATACAGCCAGGTAGCATTTAGAAGTAACAAAAGACATTGAAAAAACTTTTCAGTGATGAATGTTTCTGTCTCCCATTAGAATTTATGATTCCAATGAGACAAAATGTTATCATCGAAACCTAATCAGATAGATAAATAATGATAGTAATGTTTAAATATTTTGTAGTCTAGTTTTCAGATACCGTTATACCTTTCTTTGTCATATATACTGCAATTTTAACTGCTTGTTGATATAGAAAATCTAGAACTTCATTATTGATACCATATAGAGACGATACATTGAATCAGATTACATGTAGAATCGAAAAGTTTGTGCTTGCATTTAAATTAGAAAGATTAAAAAAAATGTTTTGTACTATGCACATATCAATGTTTTTGTTTTTTTGTCATGTAATACTCAGAGTATGATGGGGGGCTGGCTGAATCATTACAGCTTTAGATGCCAACCTGTGGACTACACAGAGAATCCCAAAGCTATTAGAGTAAGTGATGCACAGGCGTCCGCGACGACGCTACGGGCATTGGATTCAGAGCAAAGATAACTAACCCTTGCTCACTGTATATAGTACATATTTATGTTTATTTAGCAATGCAGCAGTATGTTGTAAAAGTAGCTACAAGGTGCAGATGGTAATAATTCTAAGATAGGTATATAATATAGAAATAAGCATCCAAATTATTACGTATTTGGAGTGTACTGCTACTAACATATAAATAGATACTTGTAATTGTAACATTGTAAAGTATCAACTAAGTATGTGCAACATTGTTACGCTAATCCATGTATGCATTAACATCTGAACAGTACTGAACAGCGTACTGAAGCGCGACATACGGTGATGTGCGAACTATGTATATAAGGGCCTGGTGTCGGCATGTTGTTTCAGATCGGAGCTGCTGGCTGGTTCACAGGCAGGTATAACTTTCAATGTCAGCCGGTCGACCACTCCAAACATCCACAAACAATGAGGGTGAATTATCACTTCCATTTATTACATTAGTTCCAACTCCCCAAAGCTACACTATACCGTATTTGATTACACCACTACATAAATATCTGTGTGAAAGCTGCCTTTGAACTACCTACATGTACATTCATTACGCCTTGTGTTTTATTACTTGAGTCATTTATGAGTTCTTATTCTCTTATCTCTTTATTCACATTGGATCATACTTCTGGAACATTAGCACTAAAACATTTCCAAGGTACTAAATTAACCCAGTTAAATTCGACCGCGGCCACCCTCGTTGTGCAAAGCATTTCGCTTTTGCCTATATAGTAGTTGTTGATAGTAGTTGTTGATTTAAGTTTTCATTGAAATCATCACCATCGATCGTCACGCCCATTTAATTAACATCAATTAATCAGTAATTTTCAGATTCATCCATTTTCCATCACGATTCATGACGCATGTCTATCAAGTATTGATAACACTTACCTAATGCAACCTATATTATAATTATAACAATTAGACTAGACATATCCACCTACTATACATAGAGTGCTTGCTTAAATAGATATTGTTTAATTGCTATTTTGATTTTCTCCCTTAGTTTGATGAAATAAAGTAAATTAGTACATTATATTCCTCTCGTCTCAAAAGCACTGATATGATTATGTAATGAATACGAATTTTAAGAGATCGGAATCTAATAGTTTATATTCAATTTTCAGATGGTTCACGCATGTTGGTGGTACTACTTTTCCAAGTTCACTGAATTCTTTGATACGGTAAGTTTTAACGTGTTTCCTAAGCATAAATCTCGTATAATGCTTTTACAGTACATAGGTACTTTACATATTATAATTATGTAGCCCTAAATCGTCATTAGTTAAAATATTTGCCCTCCATACCGATTTCAACAATATTTTAGTCGTACTTGAAATGAACTCATCACTAACGTAGGTAACGTTATCATCGTATGTTTGTGATAAGCACGTTTGGCAATACTCGATATCATATCTCTGTAGTTTCACAAAACAGGTTCGCACAAGGGAGTCTCAATATTGCTAAAAGTTGTATGCAATTTATATTGTGTAGGACATTTCGCGTGGATTTAACTTTCCACGTTTCAAAATGGGTTCCTTCTTTTCTTAGTCATAATTTCTGTTTTTCTTTAGGTTCAAATTGTATGCTATTTGTATTCTTTATATATCAGCATATATGTGGCAGATTGGTCCATCTCTGATCTCAGATGACATTCTCTTAACTATTAACTCGTCGAGTACCGGTTTTGTAGACACAATTATAGAACAATAGGTTGCGGTCACC